TCAACGTATCCATAAAGCTTGTCGTACGACACGTGAAATATCAGCCTAATACAGGCTTATTACTGTCTCACGACTGCAAGCAGTAGGTAAAGGTGCGATTTCACGCAGCGAAAAAAAAGCTGGCGTTTCACCCTACTCCATAAATTTTCACCGAAATGGCGAAAATAGCGAATAAACGCTCAATGTTCGACATAGTCCAACTTTTAGCGAATAAAAGCTGGCGTTTATCATCACTCCATTAATTATCGCTAAAAAGACGAATGAAGATAAACGCTCAAAGTTTGACACAGTTCAACTTCTAATGATTGTAGTTAATTAAGTGAATAAAATAGGCTATATAAACCCAATGAAAAATTTTTCATGCATAATTATGAAATTTGTCCATACATAATTATGTATAATCATATAACATTATATATCATTATACACAATTATGTATAACAATATGTATAATTACATATAAATCTATGCGTAATTATGTAAAATTATATATGAATTTATATATATAATTATACATGATTATATGTATAAGTAGAATGTATGAACATGAATGGACAAATTTGATATATAATAATATATAATTATGTATAATTATATATAATTTTATATAATTGTATATAATTATGTATGAAAAATTTTTCATTGGGAAAACAGCAATAAAATAAAAATAAAATATAATAAAAACAAGAAATTATGGCTGAAGGAACTGATAAATTGACAGCGCCCGATAATACAAACGAAGTTAGTATATATTATATATAGTCAGCATATTTATATAGGTTATAACCTATATAAATATGCTGACTATATATAATATATACTAACTTCGTTTGTATTATCGGGCGCTGTCAATTTATCAGTTCCTTCAGCCATAATTTCTTGTTTTTATTATATTTTATTTTTATTTTATTGCTGTTTTCCCAATGAAAAATTTTTCATTGGGAAAACAGCAATAAAATAAAAATAAAATATAATAAAAACAAGAAATTATGGCTGAAGGAACTGATAAATTGACAGCGCCCGATAATACAAACGAAGTTAGTATATATTATATATAGTCAGCATATTTATATAGGTTATAACCTATAGGCTACTCTTTGTATCTTATTTATTTATATTAAATTGATTAACTTTTTCTTATTTATTTATATTAAATTGATTAACTTTTTCGTCTTGTTGTTGTGCCCTCGATTAGGGTAAGCACAACCGGTAATTGGGATTCCGGTGCGAACGTGCAAACGGTTAGGATAATAAGGGAGTCTTATAACCTTGAGGAGTTTTTATAATAAAAATATATTATTGAACTTGTCTTCTTACAGTTTCCGATCACGTTCTATTACACTTCACATAGATACGTTTTAACTAATCCTTTACCGAGTAGGTTAATGTTATTATAATGCGAAACACTCTTATTACTCCCGAGTCAGCTGTCTCTTACTTGAGACATGTAACGTACGCCTCTATACTCGTCAGTATCTCTCTCTACTCTCCCTTCGCGTAGGTGGTCCAACTCTTTATATATCATTCATGAAATTAGGGAATTAGGTTACCGACCTAATTACCTAACAATTCAAAAGTGTAACGTGATGTTTCTGCAGCGCGTGCACTTTTGATTTATTTGCCGTATTTCGCAATGTTCGTTTATGCAATACATGCATTTCGGCTGAAACGTCTTTTAGCGTTTCAACATGTTTTGTCCTACATAACATCCCTCCCCCCTTGATAAAAGAAAACGCCTCGTTTTCACTAAATTCTTATCCTAAATACATTTAGTTTTTCCCGTGTACAATTTTTTATTATAATCGTTTTCTTAATTTTATAATTGTTCTATACTATGTCTACGTATTAGTGAGGGTATGGTAGGTATCGATGGTTTACAGTGTGATGATAATCTGGGCGAGATTTCACTCATTTCGCTTTCTATAGTGGATAATGACGATCTTTGTTGAGATATTTTTGTTTTTTGTTCGAGAATCTGTCGTACATCGAAGTGTCTTAAGTTCTTTATTTTTCTTAATAAAAATATTACTATTATTATTATAATTATAATTACTATGCCACTAGGTGCGGTAGTATAAACTAATTGTTTATAATTTCTAAATGTATCAGAATTTTCTAATTCTTTTTGCGTTTGTGTCAATTCTTTACTTAAATCCGTTAATTCTGTTGGATTTTGAATAATTTTTTTAATTTTTAATCGCGGTATGATATTATTTCTAGTTTCTATTTGTTCTTTTGCGATGGTTATGTTATATTCCGGTATGTATGTTTCTATTGTTTTATCTTCTATTATTCCCTGTGATTGTATTATTATTTCGTTTAATATTAATTTGCATTGTTCCTTAAATTTTATTATTCCCGTATTTTTAATTTTGGTGTTATAATTTTTCTCTTTACATTGGATATATATATTTTGTTCATTCCGGGTAGAATATAACCATGCATTTTTTTCCTTCAATGCGATCACTACTGTGTGGTTAGCAAGAATATATTTTGTATTACATTTCACCGTTTTTTCTAAAGTTACGTATAGATGGACTTCGCATGGTGAGTCCGCTTGAATTTTATATATCGGATTCCCCTGTCCACAAATATAATGATCGCTTATTTTCTTACAATTTTGTAAGTCGTTATCTCTTATAATTAAGTATGAATTCGTTTCCTTATTAATCGCAATTTTGTTATAAGTGATTTCGGTCCATGCAAATGTGTCGTTTTTCGTGTGTACTGGTAATGGAAGAACGTTTATTATATCGTAAGTAGGATATGTTATTAATGGTATATTTAATATTGTAAAAATATTTCCTTTTTGATAATATGCACTTAATGTTATAAATTTTTCAATTTCTAGCCAGTTTTTCGTTGAGATTCTAAACGGAAAATGTGAGTTCTGCGGTACTCGAATTGCCGCTTCTTTTATTTGTGAAATGATATTATCAATAGGTGTTATTTGTATAGGTAAGTATCCCTGTTTAATATTATTCAAATATGTTATAATATCGTTTTGGTCTTGTACCAAGTTATTCAAAGCTGCGTCAAGTAATGTAAAGTGTTCGTCTAAATATTGTTGTGAAACAAGTCGTGTTTGTAAGTCGCTTACTTGTGTCAATCGGTCCCATATTGTTTTTTCATTCTTTTGTATGGTTTTCTCTAATTCTTCTAAATGTCCTATTGTTGCATTTAGTATTTTTAATTGATTTGTTGTTACATGCTTTAATGTTTCTTGTTTGTTTTCTAATAGTTGAAGTTGTTCGTTTATGATTTTTTCATCGTTTGCGTCCATTGTACCGAAAAGAGATTTGGCTATCATACCTATTCCGTCTATTAAGCCGCGTCGGCGATTTGGTATTATTGAGTGTATTTCGTAAATTCGGTTCAGTATTAGTCGTGTTCGATTCAGTCGTGTTTTTACTATATCGTACAAATTATTACAGGTCTTTCCAGTATTTGATGTGAATCCTTGTACATCACAAATTTTTTTCGTATTTTCGAGGTATTCCTCTAACTGGTCTC